AACAGATAGCTTTCAAACCAATGATCTGTAGTGAATATATTGGAACAAATAGCTTTCAAACCAATGATCTGTAGTGAATATATTCAAACATATGGTCAAACACGCCACATTGTCACACATCCGCTCTGATGAAGACTTATACCAGCCTGCAAAGGGTTCATCATGCATCATCCCCGATGAACGGGCCATGTCACGAGATTTCAGCTCACCCCGTGACCAGTTGGTCCAAATTCCCCATGTACAACACCAACAACCTGGAAATGGGAACTTGGATTGGATTAACATGAACTTGGATTCCCCATGTACTTAAAATGGTCCAAATTCCCCTAGTTCCTTCCCCATGAACTTGGATTGGATTCCCAGTTTTCTGGATTTGCTTAAGGAACTGGGACAAGATTGTTGAACATATTCCGTGACTGGACTGTTCGCAACCTCCTACCCCTTGATTCGCAGTGAAACCTGCAGCTTGACAGTTGAAAGCCTCCAAAAACCGTTCCTTCACCTAGAACCGCTCCTTCACCTTCACCTTCATTCCGAACCTCTCCACCTCTGCGCCCCACCCCTCCGCCCAACCGCGCGCAAAAGCGGGGAGACTCGTGCTTCTCAGCCACCGAGACAGAATCGACGCCATCCCTCAGGATGGAATGAGATCCGGGAGAAGGGCGATGGACAGCAGACTCTGCAGATGCAAACGTCGTTCGGAGACGTCGCGGACCGACGACGTCGTTCGGAGACGTTCGCGTCAGGTTGTGAAGCTGAAAATGATGGGGGTCTGACAGGTGGGGGGAGGAGGCATGTTGGTCGACAAAAGGTTGGTGACCGGGTGGTGGATCCTGATTTGCTATGCCAGTTGAGGGTGGAAACAAGACATCACTTGTCATGATCTCACGATCAGAACCACTGGCTTGTTACGGCTTGTTTCTTCCCCATGACCCATGTCTGGTGCTTACACCAGCTCATTTCCAACAAAATGGAATAGAATAGAAAACCGTCAATCATCAAACCATAGTTTTTTCCATTTCTGGTGTACCCACAGCGCCCCCTTTCTGGTGTGTATCTGGAAGATTGACCCAACGAGCTGGTTTCATGTATCGACGAGAATCATGTGGGCCATCATGTGGGCCATCTGTCATGACGTGGTGGAAAAGATAGCCAAAGTACGCTTGTTTGTTTTCTTCGGAGGTATAGATTCCCATGAATGAATGTGCTAAAACAAGATTGAGAGACAAATTGTGAAATCAATAAACTGTTTGAAGGTCTGTCGGTAAAGACAAATGCCCCTTTGCCCACCTGAAATTTGCTGCACTATCCAACACATACAGGGATACTCCTTCCAAAACAAACACTTGCCGAATGGATAACTGAGATCCCGCACATGGCTCAAGTGTAGACATGTGCTAATGCCCAGACTGCAGTTGTTTCATCTAAAGCCACAAGAACATATGCACCTATGTGTATCAATTTATCCCTTGCACTATATCCTTAGCGTAGCAAACAATAAAAGTCTCAACTCTCCCAAAAGAAATCATCTACTCAACGACATGGATATTGATGAATTCTAACATTGACATTGATGAATTTCACGGACCTGCTCAGTGTCCTTGAAAAGACCTGCTCAGACCTGTGGTGTGGCCATCCGGCCCGGCATGACCAGAATCTATTGAAACTGGAGCAAGGAGGAGCGGCAAAGGAGTAGCTGTTCTTTGCGTGTTGCCAGGAGGTCTTTCTAAGAAAGTAAGCACCACACAAGTCTATGTCATTACTATGTCATAGCCTATGGAGGATCAGTTTGTTTCAACGCCTTTGGCGTCACATTCACCCTATCTATGTCGTCGCGAAGGAGGTCACTCCATCTGTCTCGCCTATGAGCACAGCACTGCCTATGGGCCCCTCCTGGTCATTGACGGGTCATGGACGGGTCATTCATGGCCATTTTGGCCCCAGCATCTGTTTAAACATAGCATGACATCTTAGAGAGTCATATAGGTAGGGAAGAGTTCCTTTGCACGACGAGCATTTTTTTTTGGGGGGGGGGGAGAGCGAGTTGAATCCGTGTCTGAACGAAACAAAACACATCCCGTAATGACGGACACCGAATGCACACCAAAGTTCCAAAGATGGTCGTAACTGCCTAGGATGTATGAACTGGGATGAAGACAATTGAATCGGTTACTCTGCTGGTTAGAGATTGAACAAAAGACCCGACAAAAGCCTCAAACATGTTGGGTTGATGGATGTTGATGGCCTCTTAGATCAGGGGCCATTGTCAAGCGATTCGCAACTTCACACAACGATTGAGCGACCTAGAAGCCTTTGTTACTAGTAGCTTCTTGTTACTAGTTGTAATGGCCTTTAACCTACTAGCGATGGCCTCCAACCTAGTAGCTTCTTGTCACTCGACCATTTTCAGACTCCGCAACTGCAAACTCGGCTGTACGGCCGTCGTAAGTGCCATCGTCTGCCTGAGACCACAGTTGGTCAGAACCTTCCAATCAACCGCTGGAATCTGGGAAGGATGTGAGCATAGGTGAGCATGGTTGAGCAAAGCACTTGGAACTTTTATATAAAATGTTTAAGCATCTTAAAGCTAAAACACACGAGTTAAAACCAAGAAAAGGATAACGTCACACTAGAATCATCCTTCTTCCGCATCCAACACTCACAAACCATGGGCAGTTCGTTCCATTCTCCTTCGTTTTCCCCTGAAAAGCGATCCTTCGCCTGGGCGAATCGGTTCGTTGGATCCGTTGGCCCCTTTCGGTGGTGCATTTGTTTGGCGCATGGAACGGTGTGATGTGACACACCCGGTGGCCAATGGTCGAATCGTTCTGCCAACGGTCGGTCATGGTCGGTCGTTCTGGACCGGAAGGGAGTTCAACTTGCCGTCCTACACCAGGCATTGGCCCGACTACCATTGAAGAAGCTCTGAACGCGAACTCAACTGGCAACAGAAGTAATTATGGAACACATATCTCTTCCTGTAGTTATCAAGAAACTGAGGAATCTAAGTGGTTGTTTGGTGGCCTGATGCCATGATTCCCCGTTTCAAAAAAAGAAACAACCCCGCCGGAATCCCGCTACCATGGTTAACATACGTCACGCAGTAGGAACCCCAAGAAGAAACCGACCAACTCACGAAGAACTAAGACGCTCTTTACTTAGAACTTTACTTCAATGGATTGGCTCAAGAGAAGATCTACAGGAAGCCATGGTTAGAACTAGAACCGCCAAACTATTGGGTTTTCCTCCTCCTAAGCACATTTCTAAGATCACTGGATTCCGGTGGATCCGCGTGAATAACGTGGAGGTCGCTCGCGTCGATCCTTCAAGAAGCACCGCCTTCATCTCTCGCCAGATCTCTGCGTTTAGGCCTCAGATCAATTGGGAGGTTCAAACAAACAAAATTGAGTTGATCGGGGGAAAGTATCCACCTGTTGTTCTGGTTTGTTGTGATAATCCCATGACTTTTGTTTGAAGAATATGACAGTCTGCGTTGTGTTTCTTTCTTTAAGAATAATAACTACAGTAGTCCAGCTGATTTCTGAGACAGACCTTAAAGGTGAGAGCAAAGACAGGTTTACGAGTACCATCACTTCCTGTGAGGTCAGCCTTGATCTTTGATATCTTGTGACATGGTTCACACCCAACATCTATATACTGCAGTAGCATCTAGCAGAATACTGCCTCTGCTACTCTGACATAAAGGTCCTCTCATCAAACCCACAGAGCAAAGGAAACATTGATATTCATGGATAAGAGTTACAGTTAAACAAAACCAAATAAGTCCGCTGCTAAGTATTGGACATCCATTGCTCATCACCAGGGTTTTGGCCAATGTGTTCCCTGCTAGTGGGTGACACTCCTGGGGATCACAACCCAGCTCAGTGAACCCTGAGAGTGAACATGGCTTGAATGTTGAGTTCTTATGTTCTTGATCCTCCCTGTCACCTGAGAGCACCCAGGGTGTTCAATTTGCTCTCGAGGATGGCACTAGGGAGAATCTGATAGCACTTCCACCCAAGCAAGTGATGGATTGGTGCCTCTTGCCACCTATGAATCCTGTGCACGATGATGGCCCGCAAAAAAGCGTGTAAAGCTTCCCAATCGTTCTGAGGCTGGAACACCTCCAAAGAGATAGGCTGAGCCGGCTTAGCCAATCTTTTTTAGACACAGTAGTCCAACTGGTCCCAAGAAGAACATCCCCAATATCCCCCATCTTACAAAGATGGATCCTCTCAAATCCTCTCAAGTCAAGGCTTAAACATCACTGAACATCACACCCGTGACATGGTTTGGACCCAGGCACCACCAATGCCGAAGCGGTGGCTGACTGGTACTTGAAGGTGGCCGGAAGGGACTTCACACGCTTGTAATACCTCTCCGGGCGAGGGAGGCCCGCGATTGGCCCGTCGCAGCAACGCGTGGGCCACGATTTTTGCGAGACGAATCCGGGCCGAACAGCCTTTTTTGTGCCGACAGAACGGGACCACCACGGAGTTCTTTAAACACGAACAAACACATCCGTTGCAGATTGATGGAGATTGAGTGATGAGTGGGCCGTTTGACGCCCAATGTTTTTTTTTCGTTTGCCGAAGGCTTAAAGGGGACACCGAAGGCAAGTTCCGGTCCGGAACGTCCGTTGCTGTTGAAAGGTGTTGTGGACGCTTTGCGTGCCAAAGTCCAGCATTTCGGCAGTCTAGCATAGTCCAGCACTCTCTACTTTGAACACTCCGACAACCTTAAGAGGAACAGTCAACCAGAGGTCAACCAGTGGGCAAGAGCATTCCTAGTCCATAGTCCGGAGGACAAGAACATTACGAAAGCTCTAAGCATCTCATGTTGACCTTGCGAAGCAATGCCTGCCTGACATTCACGTATTGTGACTTATAAGCATCTGTCTCAAGTCGCCTGGCCAAACGATGGATGCGGCTCTCCACCAAAATGAGACGGAACTTGGCATCCTTGTCCTGCGAAGATCGCTCGGGAACTTGGCACCCTGCCCTGAGGGAAGAGTTGAGAGATAGAAAGCGGTGGTTCTCCTTAGAGGCTTAGATCACCCTGTTTGCTTCATAGATAGATAGATAGATAGATAGGTAGACAGATAGATAGATTGGTACGTAGATAGGTAGGTAAATAGATAAATAGCTAGGTAGATAGATAGATTGATTGATAAATATATTAGAATATACACATGAAAATAATCCAATCACCATCTTGGTTTAAGGTGCTGTGTAAGGTTGTGTGTGTGTCACCTACTCTGAAGTGTTCCTTCATTGTGCAAGGGGACAACTCCAACATTATCCATCGGAACGAAGCGGTTCTTGCATTGCATTTCGCTACGGGCTGCTGCGAAAGTCGGGGCGTCAGCTTTCGGGGGGGGCAAATTTCAATACAAGCTGCTGTATACACAGTTTTTAAGTTTCAGTGGGGGAAAATGTTGACTGAGAACACTCAGCTTCAAATTCCAAAGTCCATTCATCCCATCGACGTGGATCAAGAATGCAGTATGATTCATCTCATCTAGCTGGTTTCCTGCTGAAAGTGGAGACTGATCTTCTCAACAACCCAGCATTGAAGATGTTTTTCTCAGGTAGCACTTAGCACGGTAGCTCCACAAAAAAACATACAGCTAAGAGTCAAACATGCTATATAAATTGACCCCCGTCACTACTGTGAACGTGGAACATGACATTCCACCAGGATCTCAGCTGTATGTTCGTTCTTGTGCCCGATAAATGTTGGGCTCAACTCTCAGGGGTACCGTGTCGCGCGTCGTGGAAATGTGTGCGATGTGTGCGGTTCTTTCATTGCTGTGACTACATTGGTGCCGCGGAGCGTGGCAACGATCCTTCGAGGGTCCAGTTTAAAGATTCGTTGAATCTGGTGCTGCACTAGCAGTTGGATGACAAGTCAACGTCATCAGCGCCAATGGCGCCCAGGTTTTCAGGGCCTAGAAGCCAATGAATGGGGTGAAGAAGAGGAAGGAGAGGAGTCGCAGTCGAGTTCTAGACCACAGACCACTGGAACTGGAGCGTCCGAACACCGAAGCAAAGGGTCGACAGGTCCTCCTCCTAGCTATGATGGTAGCCGGGCAACAGGAGCATTCGAAGAGTATAGGCTCAGAGCGAAGCTCTGGCTGCATACCACCAATCTAGATCCAATAGCACGAGGTCCGAGGATGCTGCAAGCTCTTACCGGAAAAGCCTTCGAAGCTGCAAAGCACCTGATTGAAGATGACAACTGGTGTGGATCCCCGGATAATGGCATGGAGCTGATCCGATATTTGTCCAGACCCGAATGTTTTGGAAAGGAGGAATTGGAATCTCTCTGGAGCGCAATGACCAAGCTGTTCTACTCTGCACTTAGGCGTAGTGATGATGACCTTGCTGCATTCCGGACACGCTTTGAAGAAGCGGTCAGGAAAGTGCAGAAACACAAAGTTGAACTGCCCTCAGAAGCACTGGGATTCCTTTTTCTGAAGCAAGCCAAGGTAGATGAAGAGACCATGGAAAGACTCGTGACTTTAACAGGAGGCAGCCTCAAGCTGGAAGCAGTCATTGACGGCATGAGGAAGCTCAAGATGAGACTTCTCGACCCCGATGATGACAAAAAGCGTCATGTCTGGCTGCAGGATCAAGAACACACAGCAGCCGAACATGTACAAGAGGCTGATGTAGATGACGAGTTTCATGTAATCGAAGATGCTCTTCAGGATCTTGACTCAGAGGATCCTACTGCTGTCATCACTGAGGACGAGGCAAAAGATGTCTTGATGACATTGATTCGACAGAAGATTGCCCGTCCAGCTCAGTATAGCTATCGGCAAGTGCAGCAGACCAAGCAAGATCTTCGCAACAGTCGAGGATTTCGTTCGGTGAACACCGGTTCCGAGGGACGTCACCAGGGTGGAATTGTGAGACGTGACATCCAACAGTTGAAACAAATCACCAAGCGTCGTAATTGTGGTGCTGTTGGCCATTGGCACAAAGAGTGTCCCCACCCAAAGACGTCGAACGCATCCTCTTCAGTTGGAACCCAGGGTCCCAGTACAAAGAATGAGCCCAGACAAGGGTGGTGGTCCCTAGTTGAAGCAGTAGAACATGAACAGGGAGCCACCTCGTCGCGCGCACATGAATAGGAAGCACGCCCTTTGTCCGTATGGACTGCTTGCGTAGGAGACTCAACACGCAGGGACAAAGGGTTCAAACAATTTTCTCCACAAATGAGAAGCATTTTGCTTAGACGACACGTAATTCAGCAGCACTCTCAAAGGTTGGTACCCCTTGAGCCTAAAAGACTAGAGCGTAGTGTCGAGCAGTCCAATCGGGATTCGACTGTGAAGCCAGTTCTTTTCCAGCAGGCAATGGAACAAGTTGCCAACTTTTGTGTGTTGGACACCGGATGTCAAAGAGCTGCGGTAGGATCTCGCACGTTGCAGATGATCCAGGAGCAACTTCCCCAGGGCATGCAGGTGAGGTTTGAATCACAAAGTTTTGTGTTCAAAGGTGTTGGAGGGTTGACTCGTACTCATGAAGTAGCTGTGATTCCCATTTGTTTAGGTAGCAGACCTGCAGTCATTCGTGCAGCTGTTCTTCATGAACCAGCCGAAGCGCCCCTACTGCTTTCACTTCCAATCCTAAAGGCATTAGATGCTCAAGTGTGCCTGGGAAGCGCAAGCCTAGAATGCAAGGCCATTCAGGAGACAGTTAGACTCCACTATAACCACCGTGGTCAGCTCTGTGTGTCCCTTTTCCGATTCGACCAAATACCGCAAGACCGGGCATGCACCTGGAAGCCCAAAAAGCTGATCGGAGATGAGTGCACCATATTTCTGCAAGCATTTTGCCATGAAGAGTCACCTCAATACCGTGCACACACATTGAGCGAGATGGACAAAACGCACAGGAAACATCACAGTGTTAATGCCGAGGGTTTGCATTGCCAAGATGTCTTAGGAAAATATCCAGTCCTTCGTTCTTTTCACGGAGTTGCCAGAGAGAGTATTGAGTGTGAAATAGATGCATCACGATGTGAACCAGAGATCCCCAGTGAGAATTGCGGTTCAAAGCACAGTGCCGATTTCGCTTCCACTTTCGATCTCGACTGCGCAGATGGACGAGAGCCGCAAGAGAAGTTGTCCGGCATCAGCTCATCCGCAGGAGCCCAAGCGAGTCAGCGACTGGTCAAGGATGTTCAGTCGCCTCCAGATTCGCACACACTGCCAAGCAATGTGCCAAGTTGTAATGGGGCTGATGATGCCTCTTATGAGCATTCTGATTCGTTCGTTCATGATCGAGACTCAAGATCCAGAAGAAGAGATTCAGGCTCTCGAAGACACGATGGCTGTGATTCAGACCTTGGTGGACGAGAAAAAGGAAATTCAGAAACAGGAGAAGCTGGAGCGTCGCCGTCGACGACAGGAGCGACGCGAGGAACTTCAGCACGCACTCATGAAGTCCGAACAGATGAGCCGCTCCTCCAAGTCGAGTCACAGCTTCCTCTTGGTGGAAGACACCAGTCCATCCATGCAGTTCAAAGACAAGAGCAAGAAGGAAAAGAAGAATCGGTCCGACAAGAAAGAGCAGATGCCCAGTGGAGTTCCACTGGAGGACATGAATCCAGAGGACGAAGCTCAGGGACTGCCATTGAACCATTGCTTTTGCGGACTCCCCGTGACCACTTATGTGAGTCGCACAGCTGGAGCAAACTTCCTCCGGCAGTTCAACCGTTGTCCAAAGCAGATTGGAAAGCAATGCCAATTCTTTCAATGGATCGAGCCTCCGAAATCGACTCAACACCAAAAGCTCTTTCGAGAGCGAGAGATGCCAACTGGACCGGGCAGGAACGAAAAGACCAAATCGAAGGCCAGCTCAAGCAAGCAGAGCAGATCTATCAGCAGCTCCAGTTCGACGTCAAGCAGCGACTCAGAGCTGATGCCAGAGTCAAAGGCAGCTGCTGGGTACCCATCCCGCCGGCCTCCATGTCAGCACGACTGGAGCCGCAAGGGAACAAATGGACATCAGCAGATGCTCACTTGCAAGATCTGTGGCCGCAGGGAAGTCACCAAGTACTCGACCGGCAAAGTGACGGTCACACAAGTGGACGACACTCCGAGCCCGAATCGGCGGAAGTAGGTTCAGCCGTGCAAGAGGAGACACTTCGCCCAGGTGTTCGAAAACGAATCTTAGGATTGATCAAGGCTAGAATTGACGAACTAGAGTCAACAGAAAGCAGTAGGGAGAACAATCAAGACTCTGTTGAGGAATATGTTCATCTTGACCCTACTGATGTTCAGAGTGTTTTGCATCTGCATTTGATTGGCGAAGTGTTCAGCTCACCGCGATTCACCGATCGTGCTTCAAGACATGGATTGCAAGCCGGACGTGCGTATGATTTGAAGTTAGGAGACAACTTCCTTTCCTCATGTGAACGCAGGGACTGTTTGAAACATTTGCAAGATAACAAGTACGGCTTTGTTGCGGTTTCCGTGCCATGCCACATGTTTAGCATGCTTCAGTATTTGGCACTTGGTAGGAATCATCAGCAATGTTTAGCTGACCCTGTCTTCGCACAGAAGTGGAAAGAAGCAATGACTCTTCTAACGTTCGGTACGCTTGTTTGTCATGTGCAACAGCAACACGGAGGTTGTTATCTGTTTGAACATCCATGGTCTGCCAAGTCATGGCAGCAGAAGTGCGTTGCAAAACTGTTGAACTCTCCAGGAGCCATGCTGATTCGAACTGATCAGTGTGTCTTTGGCCAGTCCGATGCACAAGGAAGTCCAATCCGCAAGCGCACTGGATTCATCACAAACAACTCACAGATTGCCAAGACATTACGTAGAGATTGCCCCGCCAATCACTCACGCGTACATTGCATAGGACGGAGTTGTGGCCAATCTCGAGCGACGATCGCAGCGCGATATCCAAACAAGATGGTGGACGCTGTCTTGAGTGCATATAAGCGATCGATCTCGTCACTGACCAAACACGACAACCTATTGTTTGAATGTCACCATAGACGAATCAAAGAACCAATGACAGTTTATAGTCTCGGTACACCAGTTGATCCAGACGAGTCAAGTTCGTTGATTTTTATGGGTTGTCGGGTCAGTCAGGGCGGTTGCAAGACAGCAGCAGATCCAGTACCCGAAAGCATTTTTGCCGCCGAACCAGTAGATCTCGACCCAAGTGACATTGGGGAAGCCATCGATCTTGAAGCAGAAGAAGACGACGAGCAGCCAGGTGTAGATGATATCGAAGAACAACCGACTTCCCAAGAAATAAAGGAAGAAATAGCTAATATGCCAGCAAGACGTCGTCAGAGTCTAATGCATGAGATCCAGAAGGTTCATCGAGGTCTCGGGCATCCGTGTTTATCTAACTTGCTTCGAATCCTCAACCATGGTAAAGCTTCTCCTCTGATCATAGCTCTTGCAAAGGAGTTTAAGTGTTCCATGTGTATTGAAAACAAACAGCCAAGACCATGGAGAAGGGCCGCACCGCCTCGACAACTTGAGTTCAATCAAGTGGTAGGCGTCGATACACTCACGCTGAGGCATTTTGACCGGAGCATTCACTGTTTGAACATTGTCTGTTGGGGCACGCGATATCAGATGATCATCCCACTCGAAAGCAAACATGCCATAAGTATACGTAAGGCATATCGATTGTGGATAAAGATGTTCGGGGCACCACACGTGATCCACCCGGATCTCGGAAAAGAGTTCCAAGCAGAATTTGCGAGCAGGTGCGCTACAGATGGTTCTAACATGTTGCCATCAAGCCTAGAAGCTCCAACGCAAGCAGCAATCACTGAAAGGGAAGGGGGAAGCTTTAAAACGATCTTTGCAAAGACCAGTCTTGAATATGGCAAAGTAGAAGATCAGGAAGAACTACATGAACTAATAGACATCTCATGTATGATGAAAAACAGACTGACGCACAGAGGAGGCTATAGTGCCATCCAGAGGGTTTTTGGGGTCACACCATGTATCCCTGGAGAAATCATGAGGGGAGATCACAACAATCTGCATCACATGGCCGAGATCACTGCAGGTGATGTAATTCTACAAAAGCAAGAAGCAATGCGTCTTGCGGCAGGCCGTGCATTCTTTGCACAAGAGTGCAGTTCCGCAATTCGCAGAGCACTCCACAGTGGACCTCGTGTCAGCCCAGAATTTTCGGTAGGCCAAACTGTTTATTTCTGGTGCAGCAGTACTCAACAGAAGGTTAGGCATAAAAACTCAGCGTCACGCCGACCCAACTACATGCGCTGGACTGGACCAGCAAGTGTGATCGCTATGCAACTTCCAACAACGCTGTTTCTGAACTTTCAAGGCCGTCTTGTTAAGGCAGCGCCAGAACAGTGCAGAATGTGCAGCGACGATGAGGACGTTGCGTGCAGCAGCTTGCTTCAGAAGCTTTGCCGTGTGCGAGATAGCCTTAAAAGTAACAAGATTGGAGGAATGTTGGATATTACCGGGTTAGACCATCCACCAAGCAGTCCCACGTCAAGAGTAGGAGTAGACCCTTATGAAGATCACCCCACCAATAAGCGCAGGGCTTTTGGCAAACAACCACCATCCAAGAAAAGCAAAAGTAAGGGTTTTCAGGGACTCAAAAGGAAACAAGATGCTATTGATCTAGAGGAATCAGATGTTGACTCAACAGGTGACTCCAAAAGAAAGTGCAACGAAGAAAGTCAAGAAATTGATTTTGACGACCTTTATTTGCACGAAGTTTTGGAAGATCCTCAAGTTCAACAAAACCTCATGCAGGAAGAAACAGAAAACTATGTTTTTATGATAGATCGAGAGCCAAACGAAACGAGACTCACAAGTGTTCGCAATTGCTGGAGTATGCAGAGCCAGACGAAAGAGCTTCGACTGCGAGACTTGGATGAGCATGATCGCGCCTTGTTCATCAAAGCGATTCGAAAAGAGTGGGAAACAAATCTCAACGCTGGAGCTATCGAAGTGATACCTCCTATGGAGGCCTCTAAGATCCGTCAAACACAGTCACATCGAATCATGCAAAGTCGCTTACTTCATGTGGCAAAACCCATTGATGATTTGGAAAACTTCGATCCAGATGAGATTTTGCATTATGGTCGAGACAACCAACCCAGAAAGGCAAAGTCCCGATGGATCGTGAGGGGAGACCGTGACCCAGATGTGTTCCAAGTGGAAACCACTGCACCCGTGATAGCTCGTGACACCATGTTCATTGGACTCCAACTGATTGCAAGCTTTGGGTGGACGGTCTTCTTTGCAGATTTCTCGCAAGCATTTATGCAGGGAGGAGAGCTCATCCGCAACGAGCCACTGTTCTGTGAGATTCCAGTGCATGAACTGCCAGACGTTGAACCAGGTTCATTAGTTGCAGTTAAGAAAACCGTATATGGACTGACAGATGCACCGTCAGCATGGAACAGACACTTAGATAAAGCACTGCAGGGCCTCGGGTATCGACCATCGATACTAGATCCATGTTTGTATACACTACATGTTCAGGAACAATTTCATGGTCTCATCATGGTTGCAACAGACGACTTGATTCACGCAGGTGGTAGGGAACATGGCACACGAATGGAATCACTAAGACAACGGTTCAGATTCGGTAAATGGGAACATACTCAGGGACGGTTTTGTGGAAAAGACATGTTTCAAAAGTCAGACAAGACTATTGAGGTCAGCCAGGCGTATTATGTTGACGCAAAATGCAGAGATAAGATTCCAATACCTAAGGGTCTTGGTGATGAAGAGCCATGTAGTCCAGAACAGATCAAAGAACTAAGGTCTAAAGTAGGAGCACTTAGTTGGATTGCAAAAGAAACGCGTGTCGATCTGGCAGGAGCTGTTGCATTGCTAATGCAGGCATTTCCGAATCCGTGCGTTCGCGATCTCAAGAACTGCAATAAGATACTAAAGGAAGCAGTAATGTACAAGGATTTAAAAATCCGTATCTCTCCAATAGAGCCAGAAGACTTGTGCATTGTCGTTACCAGCGACGCAGCTTGGGGAAACGCTCTAGATGAAAACAAACAAAGTGAAAAGAGTCAAGCTGGCTACCTGGTGATGACAGCAAGCCGCGCCATGCTTCAAGGAAAGCAAGCTTCCTTTTCGATCTTGGGGTGGAAGAGTCACACTTTAAAGAGAAGAACTGTATCAACACTCGGAGCAGAAACACAAGCCATTGTAGAAAGTGCTTCAGTATCGTGTTGGTATAGATACATTTTTCTTGAGTGTATGAACCCTAAGTTCAAAGCAACTCTTTCAGCAAACTGGGAGACAGGGATTGATAGCATGGAATTTGGCCTGGTCACTGACGCAAAGTCTGTTTTCGACGCTCTATCCAGACCAAGTGCAATCTCAGCAACAGACAAGAGGACATGCATTGACTTGTCCATCATTCGAGAATTTCTTCGAAGGAATAATGGATGTGTTCGATGGATTGACGGTAGATATCAATTGGCAGATTCGCTTACCAAAGTGATGCCATCAGATTTTCTCAGGTCAGTAATGAAACTAGGACATTACCAACTACATGAAGAGTACAATACTCTTGCCTTACGAAGAGAAGCTCGAAAGGATCGAGAACAACGCAAAGCAAGGTTGCAACAAGAACGAAAAGAAAGTTAGAGGAATGTGAACGTGGAACATGACATTCCACCAGGATCTCAGCTGTATGTTCGTTCTTGTGCCCGATAAATGTTGGGCTCAACTCTCAGGGGTACCGTGTCGCGCGTCGTGGAAATGTGTGCGATGTGTGCGGTTCTTTCATTGCTGTGACTACAACTACCCATTAGCAAATGATCACTGCAGAGTCGGGTCTTTAGGTCGTAAGATCCTGCGAATGTCTTTCGTATGTTCTTGACGAGTCCGCGAATCCATGTCGTTCCTGCTCGGTCCCGGGACAGCCGGAGCCTTGCGATTCTTGTCCAAATGCTTACGGATGGACACCGCTTTCTTGATCAAGAAGTACAAATCCTGAACGCTATGCAGAATGGGGATTCTGAGAAGATGCAATCAATGGCGGAGTTCTTTATAGAGTCTTCCTCAAAAAATAACCCCTTTGTTTCATTGCTAGACCCAATGCAGCAGTTCTAGTTGTCATCTTCTCGACTGCTTCTC